TAAGAAACAGCTGATGCTCAGGCGTGTCCGTCTTCCAGCCAATGAAAGTTACTCTTTCACAAAATAATTCCCGAGTGTCTATTTCCCAGCCAATGAAATTTACTCTTTCATGAAATAATATCTGAGATCAACGTTAGGAAACCTCGCATGCTGGAAATGACACCCGAACATTGATTGGCCTAACGTTTAATTTTAATTTAACACTTAATTTGATCTATAAATTGTTAATACCCACAATATCAAAACTATAGAAATCCACTTTCAAGTATACGAAAAGGCTTATGGCCGTGGGTTGAATTTATGTGATGTTTTTTTTTGTTAAGTTTTTACTAAATTTCCAGAGCAATAATGAAATGGGGATGTGATGTTGTTCCACACGTACATTCCTGAACGATAAAGTTTGGCATATATCCAAGCACTCTTTGGTTTGAAGCACTTGTATTCAGACTTATCCTCGCGACAAATAAATGTAACAAACTTCCTGTATTGTTAAAATACACAAGAGAAACAAAAACAGTTAAGCCCAAGACATACAGGATAACTTACAATCAACGTCATGCCGGTGTTAGTTCATCAGGGGAAATATTCTACATACAGGAAACGCCATGTATTCCGCCGGAAACTAGGCTTAACCTCTTCAGGAACTTCTTATTATATCCGTCTATCTCTACCTCCATCTGATCTTACTCACATACAGAGTTATTACAAAATTTGTAATTCGTTTCGTATGATATATACGTATATAGTTTTCAGTGAAAATCAGGATAAACTTACTTTATTGTCTGTAAGTTGAAGATAACGTTACAGCATTACCCGAAACGTTAAATATATTTATATCTGTAAGTTGAAGATAACGCTACAGCATTACCCGAAACGTTAAATATATTTATATCTGTAAGTTGAAGATAACGTTACAGCATTACCCGAAACGTTAAATATATTTATGTCTGTAAGTTGAAGATAACGTTACAGCATTACCCGAAACGTTAAGTGTATTGATATCTGTAAGTTGAAGATAACGTTACAGCATTACCCGAAACGTTAATATATTTATGTCTGTAAGTTGAAGATAACTTTACAGCATTACCCGAAACGTTAAATATATTTATATCGGTAAGCTGAAGATAACGTTACAGCATTACCCGAAACGTTAAATATATTTATATTCGCTTAACACAAGACCAAGTTTGAAACTTACCCAAAATATACATTTACTAGCAAGTAAAGAATCAGTGAGAATGGTTACGATGTGTTTGTTTGTCTGTCGCTAAGCACGAAGCTACATAATGAGTTATCTGTGCTGTGCCCCACAAGGGTATAGGGCCCGGCATGGCCAGGTGGATACGGCACTCGACTCGCAATCTGAAGGTCGCGGGTTCGAATCCCCGTCACACCAAACATGCTCGCCCTTTCAGCCGTGGGGGTGTTATAATCTGACAGTCAATCCCACTATTCGTTGGTAAAAGAGTAGCCCTAGAGTTGGCGGTGGGTGGGGATGACTAGCTGCCTTCCCTCTACTCTTACACTGTTAAATTAGGGACGGCTAGCGCAGATAGCCCTCTTGTAGCTTTGCGCGAAATTCAAAAAACAAACAAACAAGGTTTTTAGCGCTGTAAGACTTCAGACGTACCGCTGAGCCACTGGGGATGTGAATCGTCATTTAAATTTTTATAGATTTATGGTCAGATATTTGGTTTCATCAGTTTCTATGCAGAAGTCTTGTTTCCAAGCGACGGTACGTTTAATCAGTCATGTTTGGCAAAGCTACTAAGGCTATATGCCACTGTCCCTGATTTTTAACTACTGACCAGAGGGTAGACAGCCAGTTAACAGCACCCTACCAATCGCCATCCACGCTAAGGAATTGACTGTGACTCTTGTAACGCACCCACAACTTACAGTATGGGAAGTGGGTAGATTTTTAACTACTGACCAGAGGGGTAGACAGCCAGTTAACAGCACCCTACCACTCGCCATCCACGCTAAGGAATTGACTGTGACTCTTGTAACGCACCCACAACTTACAGTATGGGAAGTGGGTAGATTTTTAACTACTGACCAGAGGGGTAGACAGCCAGTTAACAGCACCCTACCACTCGCCATCCACGCTAAGGAATTGACTGTGACTCTTGTAACGCACTCACAACTTACAGTATGGGAAGGGAGTATTTTGCGATACCGCAGAAATTCGAAACCTGATTCGTCAGTCTGAGTTTCTAAGAAACGTGTTTATTGTTTCTAGAAAGACGTTTTTTTTTTATGTAAATACTCAAAATAGTCATATCCGAATCGTATCACAGACAGAAAACAAACGTGTTGAGTTTGGAAGAAAATTCGTATACTCTCAGGGAAGAGCCAAAAGTTAATGCTAGCCTTGGTGACAATCGGTCCAGCGGTTCGCCAGTTTTAAGTAAGCGCGCACGCACACAGACTTTTGTCAAACAATTGATTATATTTATTTAAAATTTTTGCTTTTTAAACGTTTATCATATTTGTTTGGTCGTGTGAATTTGCACGATAAAAGAGGTTGGAATTATTCCTTCTATAAATTATAATTCAATGTTGTTGTTTTTAAGATTTTAAAGGTTTTTAAATGGTATTCCTTCGATGAAGAAACTACCTCAAAAAACCTTGCCGTAAACCTGACAACACGTCTTAAAAACCTTACCGTAAACCTGACAACAAGTCTTAAAAACCTTGCCTTAACTTGATAACAAGCCTTAAAAACCTTGCCTTAACTTGATAACAAGCCTTAAAACCTTACCGTAAACCTGACAACACGTCTTAAAACCTTACCGTAAACCTGACAACAAGTCTTAAAAACCTTACCGTAAACCTGACAACACGTCTTAAAAACCTTACCGTAAACCTGACAACAGGTCTTAAAAACCTTGCCGTAACTTGATAACAAGCGTTAAAAACCTTGCCGTAAACCTGACAACAGGTCTTAAAAACCTTACCGTAAACCTGACAACAAGCCTTAAAAACCTTGCCTTAACTTGATAACAAGCCTTAAAAACCTTGCCTTAACTTGATAACAAGCCTTAAAAACCTTGCCGTAACTTGATAACAAGCCTTAAAAACCTTGCCTTAACTTGATAACAAGCCTTAAAAACCTTACCGTAAACCTGACAACACTTCTTAAAAACCTTGCCGTTACTTGATAATAAGCCTTAAAAACCTTACCGTAAACCTGACAACACGTCTTAAAAACCTTACCGTAAACCTGACAACACGTCTTAAAAACCTTACCGTAAACCTGACAACAAGTCTTAAAAACCTTGTCGTAACCTGACAACACGTCTTAGGGATAATAGTAATTACTATAAGCTACACATAGCGACCAAGGATTCTCCCCTTTCTGTAAAAGACTCTCTCCTACGAAACCTCTACATTCTGGTGTAAAATATAGTAAGTAGTGAGACAGAATAGTGGATTCATCAGAAGATAATATGATTCGAAGTTCAATACCTGTCCTCTATTTCCAACAAAAATATCACTGGTATATGATCTACGTTAAACCTACGTATCCTCGTGCTTGGTTTATTTTATCACCAAATATACAGGGTGGTCCAAAATTAACTACATATATTATGTCTTTTATTTAACGTAGAACTTAATGGCTGTTTTATGGCCTATATTAGGACAGCCATTTTAACATTATGTATGAGCCAAGTGTAATCCTACGTTCATTTAATTAGCTTTATTGGACTTGAATTAGTGATATATAAAACTGATAATGATACCTTTGAACACCTGATGTCACCTTGGTCTTAAAAAAAAACAAAAACATCTTCCTAAGATTAGTCATTAAATCTTTTATTACTCGTACGTTGTGAAGCTGCTTGTTACCAAGAGAGAGAAAGCCCTAGCGTGACTAACGTAGTTACAACTAACTAACAGGTAAAATGTACAAACAAAAAAACACTGAAGTAGTTACAAAATGTTTTTTTTTGGCGCACCGTGAGGATTCGAACTCCGAACTTTAGCGTTGTAAGTCCGTAAAAATATAAGAAACAGTTTATTGAAAAACTTCACAGAAAAGTGACAAATTCTTTGTGCACGTAAGTAACACAACTTTTCGTTAAATTATGATTTCATTCAAACAAAAGAAGAAGAAAAACAACAACAACAACAATAATATCGTAATATATTTCTAGCAGTATTAATTACAATTTATAAAGCATGCAACTGTTCTTAGCTCGCAGTTTCACTGATAGCAAACTGATAAAAATATCAACTGAAGTTGTTATAACGTGATGATATCAAAAACAGTTATGTAGATAGATGTTGTTATAATGTTACTACGTCTCGTATGGCGTTTCGTTTATTCTATATCAAGGTCAACTCCACGCTTATTTTACATCTTACTCAAAGTATACTAACAGGAGTAATTTCTCTTAAGTTAAGTACAAAGTTTGGTTGAAAATGAAACACTTATTTAACCTAAACTAAGCCTCAATGTAAGATCTAACAAACCAGAGAACACCTATTTAACCTGAGCTAAGCCTTAACGTAAGATCTAACAATCCAGATAATACCTATTTAACCTGAGCTAAGCCTTAATGTAAGATCTAACAATCCAGAGAACATCTATTTAACCTGAACTAAGCCTTAACGTAAGATCTAACAATCTAGAGAACACCTATTTAACCTGAACTAAGCCTTAACGTAAGATCTAACAATCCAGAGAACACCTATTTAACCTGAGCTAAGCCTTAATGTAAGATCTAACAATCTAGAGAACACCTATTCAACCTGAACTAAGCCTTAACGTAAGATCTAACAATCCAGAGATAACGTATTATTATAATATCAAATAATTGAAATTATATTTTGAAATCAAACTAATAAACCTTAAGGAATTAAAACATAGTATTTGCATATTTAGTTTATTATATATATATATTATGAACAGAGAATTATTTTTAACCGAAGTACAATATTGTGTATTAATATACACAATGTATATGTATATTAATATATACATTAAAACTTACGATGGTGGAGTTTCGAGAAGCTGATTGGACATCTTTCGCCATATGACGTCGACATTGTTATGAAACATTTTCTAATAATGAAGTCTATCGCTACACATATTAAAACTTGAAGTCTGTGCCATAAAGATAAACTTAAAAAAAAAAAAGCGAATCAAAATTTAGTTTCGTAGCTCGTCACTCTCCTTTATGATTTCCCAGGATGCTCAGTTTCACATATCAACCCTTCCTTCTCAGAATGACGTCATCACACCAACATGGCCGCCTCTTGTTATCTTTAACAAATATTCTCGGCTAACTTTACCACTGGCTATCGCTGTTGTATCCATCAGTCAAGCCAAGTAATAAAAACCAACACTTCTCCGAACCACGTGTCCAATACACTGATTTCAGTCGTGTGAGAGCGAGCCAGATGAGACTTTCTTCCTAACGGTTGCATTCGGATCGGGTCGTCCAGACAAGTTTTTCTGTCGCTACTAACCGGCGTCCGTGCACGCCACGAGCCCTCTTTCATTAGTGGCGGGCTTCTGGCCCAGCCGAGAGGCCGTAATGACGTAACAGACTGCGGTCATTATCATAAACGACAGCACACATTCACACACGGCTTTCTACGGTCTGGACTCACTATCGTTAAATACATACACACACACACACACACCGTATACCTTAGATGCTGTACCAGTAAACCCGTTTTCAGTTGTTCTTTTGTAGCCTTTCCCCCTTCTTCCTTTCATTCTTCTCTCTCATAGCGGTGGAAAGAAAAACTTTAACCCTTTTACTCACACAACCACCATCTGCTTGCTGAACCCCGTGGGCGTGTCGGCATCAGCCTCAACCCTTCTAGCCCGGGAACTTCGGGGTCGTGGGAAGCCTGTAACTTCCCTGAACTTAACGTTAAACGTCTTTAGGTAACTATGCCCTGAAAGAAACTCTGCCTTACCCCTTTCAGTGCTGGAAAATATCAAGAGTTGTTATTGTGTTTTTTTTTCAAAATTCTAGTTTGCAAACAGACACTATGTTATTATCATATTAAAGCCTATTTAGGCTTACCACTCCCATAATTTTGCACGGAAATGTTTTCTCGATTTAGTATCTTTGTCTTTTTTCTAGTTTAACAACGGAAAACAAAATTGTTTTGTTTTATTCAACACCCCGAAAGAACTCACAAGTTACTTTGCTCTGCCTAAAAACAAGTAATAAAAGTATATGACAACAGAATGACAATCCTGACTCCAGCTATCAGTGTATAGATATTGTTAGTTCTACATATTACCATATTCCTCTCAAAATTGAGAAATCACATCGTCATTACAACACAAGAAAAAAAAATCTGTGGGAACAAAAACTCACTGTCAAAAATCTCCAGGGACAAAACTCGCTGTTGGCGACCTCTATGGTAAAACAAACATTCGCTTAGGGACAAAAAAAAAATGAAAGTTGTCGACGATTTGTAATAGAAGCAAATATTTACACGAATTTATTTTTTTATTATTTAATTAGTAATTTGTCGTCTCTTATTTTAAAACGTATTAGTTAAAACATAAACACTGAATTGAATTCTAGGTTACTTTACTATTTTACTCGGATAATTCCAAGAAAAAGATAGCCTGTATGTCATAATTAAAGACTTTTCAGAGCCCGCATCTTTGCCTTCGTTTTTTGACATTTTATTTTTGCTTTAAGGACCACACGAGAACGAAAAGAAAACGGGCCTAAATACGTGATCCGGGGTAATAGCAATAATGTTTATTTATTTTCATATATAACGTGAAGATTATAGTTTTCGATTCGTTGATTTTTCTACGTTATATCAGAACTAAAGGCGCGTGGTTACGTGTGGCGAAGCTTTCGTCGGCTGCTTATAAGGGAGGATGGGTTAAAAACTCCTTGATTAGATACGGCTTGGACGAGTTCATATGTTCTTAAATTATAAGAGATGCATTTTCAACGATATTTTCGTATATCTTTTCCCAAAAAATCCGATAAATGTGATTTAATTTTATCGAGAAAAAAAAAGGTTTACTACGTGTGTTTATATAGAACTTCCATATAATTTCATTAGTCATATTTTTATAGAACTTCCATATAATTCGGTTACTTGTGTTTATATAGAACATCCATATAATTTGATTAGTTGTGTTTATATAGAACTTCCATATAATTTGATGAGTTGTGTTTATATAGAACTTCCATATAATTTGATTAGTTGTGTTTATATAGAACTTCCATATAATTTGATTAGTTGTGTTTATATAGAACTTCCATATAATTTGATTAGTTGTGTTTATATAGAACTTCCATATAATTTGATTAGTTGTGTTTATATAGAACTTCCATATAATTTGATGAGTTGTGTTTATATAGAACTTCCATATAATTTGATGAGTTGTGTTTATATAGAACATCCATATAATTTGATTAGTTGTGTTTATATAGAACTTCCATATAATTTGATTAGTTGTGTTTATATATAACTTCCATATAATTTGATTAGTTGTGTTTATATAGAACTTCTATGTAATTTGATTAGTTGTGTTTATATAGAACTTCCATATAATTTGATTAGTTGTGTTTATATAGAACTTCTATATAATTTGATTAGTTGTGTTTATATAGAACTTCCAGATAAAGTTGAAGCATCAAGTCAGTAAAACCTGTCCTAACACCAATGAATTTGAGAAAAATCTTGTTTTTCTCTCTCTGTCTCCTTAGCCAGAAGTATAGTTCAAGTGGTTACATTATCACAATTCTGGAGTTAAACTGGATAAAAGTTACTGTTACATAGAGTACGCTGATTGCAGTGTGGTCATTACATTGGTTGTTTGTATGGTTACGTTATCACAATTCTGGAGTTCAACTGGATAAAGGTTTCTGTTACATAACGTACTCTGATTGCAGTGTGGTGATTACACTTGATATCTGTTGAAAGCTTAATCCTAAAGAAGATAGAAACAAAACTAACTTAACCTTCTGTAGATAAAACTAAACGCATCCTTATGTATCAAATAAGTGAATCCTAGCGAAAATGAAGTTACCACAACAAAGCTAGTTGTTATTTTTGTTTTCCTGTATATGCTGCAAATGATAGAATTCCTGTACTTACTTTGGTGGTCTGTCTGTTTCCATGGTGACATTTAGGATATGTATTATAAATACTGGTATTTGTAGCCAGCTTTTTTGTCATTAATGACTTATATGGCGATATATATATCAAATTAGTCGAAAATCTAGGTCTAAAACTGGTTTTAAATGTCAATGATAAATGTTAGTGTGACAAAATTTGCTGCATGTGTTAATGACCAGTTTTTAGTGTGACAAAACTGGTTGTAAGTGTTAATGATCAGTTTTTAGTGTGGTAAAACTTTTTATATGTGTTAATGATCAGTGTTTAGTGTGGTAAAGCTGGCTATAGGTGTTAATGATCAGTGTTTAGTGTGGTAAAGCTGGCTATAGGTGTTAATGACCAGTTTTTAGTGTGGTAAAACTGGCTATAGGTGTTAATCATCAGTGTTTAGTGTGGTAAAACTGGCTATAAATGTTAATGACCAGTTTTTAGTGTGACAAAACTTGCTGTAAATGTTAATAACAATTTTTAGTGTGTGTTAGAATTTGCTGCGAGTGTTAATGACCAGTTTTTAATGTGACAAAACTAGTTGTAAGTGGTAATGATCGGTTTTTAGTGTGGTAAAACTGGCTATAGGTGTTAATGATCGGTTTTTAGTGTGGTAAAACTGGCTATAGGTGTTAATGATCAGTTTTTAGTGTGACAAAACTGGCTATAGGTGTTAATGATTAGTTATTGGTGTGGTAAAACTGGATATAGGTGTTAATGATCAGTTTTTAGTGTGACAAAACTGGCTATAGGTGTTAATGATTAGTTTTTAGTGTGGTAAAACTGGCTATAGGTGTTAATGATCAGTTTTTAGTGTGACAAAACTGGCTATAGGTGTTAATGATTAGTTATTAGTGTGGTAAAACTGGATGTAGGTGATAATGATCAGTTGTTAGTGTGACAAATCTGGTTGTAAATGGTAATGATCAGTTTTTAGTGTGGTAAAACTGGATATAGGTGATAATGACCAGTTTTTAGTGTGGTAAAACTTGCTGTAAATGTTAATGATCAGTTTTTAGTGTGACAAAACTGTTTGTAAGGGTTAATGAACAGTTGTTAGTTTGGTAAAACTGATTCTAAGTGTTAATGAACACTTTTTTAGTGTGACAAAACTTGTTGTAAGTGTTAATGAATAGTTTTTAATGTGAGAAAACTGATTGTAAGTGTTAACGAACATATTTTAGTGTGGTAAAACTTGCTGTAAGCGGTATAAGTTTCTTAAACTGAGCATGTACTCATGCAATAAGAACTGATTTAAATAATATCATTCAAGAAACCAGAAGGGTAGTCGAGACGGTTATCAATTCCTTGTTTAACCCTTAGTGCCCCTACCCACCTTGGACCCCGCCAACCATATCCCTACCCACCCGCCATAAAAGGTTAATTTACCCACTTTTTTTTTTTTATCAGTTCCCATGTTATGCATACTGTTAAATATGCCGCCAAATTTTAACTTGAAATAAACGTGTAAGATTTTAGAAGTTAAAAATAAACGTCAGTTATCTGCCTCTCTTGGCTATCATTAGCCAGCTTACTTTTTTTTATTAACGTCGAAAATCACGTTCATTGTATTTCTTAACTATACTTGTTTCTGTATTTGTTCTTTAATAAACGGTTCTTGCTCACTCATGCCTGCCAAAGCTGTCTTCTTGAAGTTCGCGTCTTGCTTTCATTTTTACTTCGGTTTATTTATTTCCCCACTCGTGTTATTAACGTGTATTATAAAACTTTTGCTGTTGTTTTTTTTGGGAGTGCAAGACTTCTTCTATTATTTAGAATTATATATATATTTTCCACTTTGATAATTTTTCGCATTTTCAATTTTTACGAAACGAAGTGTGAAATGGAATTTTGTTGTAAGTAAACTGAAGAAGGGGTAGGGTGGGGGGTAGGAAGAAAATCAATACCATTCTAGTGTGTCACTTTTATTGTGATGCTGTAGGTGCTTTTATAACTTTCATCGCGCAAGCGCATCTATGCTGTGTAAATAACTAGATAAAATACCCCCCCCCCACACACAGTGGCTCAGCAGTAAGTCTGCAGGCTTATGACGCTAAAATTCGGGTTTCGATACTCGTCGTAGGCACAACACAGATACCCCATCGTGTAGGTTTGAGCTTAACGACAAGTAATCTAAACCAAACCAAGTTAACTTTGTGTAATTTTTCTAAAACTCGTCGCATTGCAGAACAAGATGTCAGCTTAGGTGGGGGGTGGGGGGACCTCTAAAGGAAGACAGATACTTGTAGACGGTTAAGTTAAGAGTATTTCAACGTAAGAGAAAAAGAAGCAAAATGGACGTTTCTTTTGTTGTTGTTTTTTTTTGTCATGGTGAAAGATACGATCTTTATTCAATTTTTCATCCGTCTAACACAGTTACCACCATGAACATCAGGGTTAGT